AGTTTGAGTTTCAAACGAATTGATTTTTGGGTCAAACTTAGTTGTGAATATGTTTAAACTTGAGAATAGTGATTAGGTAAGTTTCTAAATATTTTTAGGACAATATAAGATCTCCATTGAATCCAGAAGGTTGAGAAACCTTGAGAGAGGTAATATGGGGTGTATTAGAAGTTATGAAGTATTATAGAGTTAAAACATATTTTAGATAGAATTTGAGTAGGAAGGATTTTGACACTGTCTTAGTATTTTGATCATAAATTTTTATCCTGATGTACGTTTGAGCTGAAATTTTTACAATAGATACTAGACTTCCAGGTCTATAAAAGAGTATTTCACAAATATATTCCAAATCGACTTTTAAATATACCAAAACTTCATTGGGATTGCGGCTAAAAATGGGAGTCTGTTCGAACGTGAAAGTCCATTCGAACGACAATTCGTTCCAGTACTTTTTTCTGATAGAAAAACATAAGTACTGGGAGCAACTAATGTTCGAACGCCAAAATGACGTTCGAACGCTAGCTACGAATCAAAGTATCATATTTACGTCGGTTGTATTCTTTTCTCACCCTATAAATACATAAGGTTGCCTCCCATTGCCTCATTTCACCATTTCCAACACTAGATAGTCTTAGAAAGGAAGAAAGAGAGGGAGAAACATAGGATCAAGGTGGATTTTTACATTGAAGTGGATTAAATCTTCTAGTTTTTCACACAACACTAAAGAAGAAAGGTAGGAGTTTTTTCTCACTCTTGTCCATTGAGGTTAGGGTTTATATATATGTATATTTTGACTCTCAATCATAAATATTTGTTATGGAATCCTTGTTTCTTGATGTTCTTGCAAATCTTACCATGTTTTGAGTGAAGCTATGGTTTGATAGCCATAAAAATTCATGTTCTTAATGTCAAAACCTAGTTTTTGATAATTATGGATTTGTCTTTTTGATATTCTTTTGTTCTTGATTTCAAAACTCTAGTGCTTTGTTTAAACACTAAAAATTATATTTTTTGATGATCTCTTGTTTATTTTCTTGAGTTGTTATGTTGGAAAAATATCTATGAAATTGGGGGCTTTTTGATTTACTTGTGATTTAAGAAATTAGTTGGTAATGTATCTCTTGTGTGGATGTTTGGATGAACATGGGTGGCCGTTGATCGGGTATCATAGAGTGAGTAGATGCATTTTTTACTCGTGTGGGTTTGAAGGTTCCCTACCACTCGTAGTGGTGTTGGTGCCTTGCGAGGACCAAACTACTGTTCGCTTACGTGATATCGAGTCTGAGGGTTAGTATACTATTTCTGTGTTGGATTCATCATTGCCGATGCATTAGTATACGCCCTTTCTAAAGTTGTGTATCCTTGCGAGAATTTGGGGTGTGTGTGGGCCAAGATATTCTTAATGTGTGTATTCATGCGAAATCTTACTTCCTACCTAAGATACAATTGGGGATATAGATACATAATGTGAATAATGGTACATTGTGGGGAATGATATAAGAAATTGTTGGAAATGATTGATATTGGAATGGTTTGTGGTTTGGAAATTGGTTTTACTTTTTCATTCTATATATTGATATTGCCTAAACTTAAGATTGGATGAACTGTCACTGTTTTCTTTCAAAATTCATATATGATATTTGTAAAATGAGATCGATGGATCTTATATGTTTTCTAAATCTTGTTCAAGTTTGGGAGGATTTTCCTACAGAGCTTAATGCTCACCCCTTACAAACAATATTTATTTTTAGATTTCGTTCTAGAGGAAGAGTTCGGAGTTGATGAGTAGGTAGCTTGGAAAGCTCAATCAGCGGAAGCGTGGATCCCGAGGGAGATGTTTAGAGTTGTTCTCTTTACGTCTTAGACTAGGAGATGCATTTTGAGACAATGTATGGATGATATTTTGTTTATTCCGCTGTAAGATAATATTTGATTTTTAGGTGTAATTGACATAGTTTTGACATATTCTTTTGAATATAATGTCCATGGTTTGACATATTCTTTTGAATGATGCTATAGATATTATGTATGATGAATAATTTTTTTTTATTTATGGATTTTATTAGTTGCTCTTATAATGTGAATGGTTATAGAAAGTAATGTTGTCTAAGGTAGATTTTAGGGTGTTACAAATGATGGCTTGAGAATCACTATGTTCTTAAGTTCAATTGAATTGAAGACAGGTTGGAATTTGGGATTAATCTTCAAATTGGTTGATTGATTTGTTTGAATTTGGGGGAATTTTTTATTAATTGACATAGTAAATTAATTGGTAGAATTATATTTTGACTTGGACATTAACTGGTTGATTATGTTTTCTTCCCACTATCTGCCTCTGATCTCTACATTTTTGTCACTACATTGAATTCCTACTATTACAATTCAAAAGTTGCAATGCTTGGACTTGTGGTCCGTTTTCCAAAAACAAAAATAAAAATAAGAGAGTTAATTGATGGGGAAATGTGAGATAGTTAATAATAGAAAAAATAAAGTGAGAGTGGGCATAATTTGAGTATGAAAGTAATTAGAACAATGGTATAGAGACTTAATTAGATAAATTGAAAATTAAGTACTAAAAATTGAATATTTAATTTTTTAATTCACAAACTGTTTGGTATCTACTGAAATTTAAGTACTGAATTGAATCAAACTGTTTAACAAATGTAAAAAGCTTAAGTTTAAAAATTATTAATATTCTAATTTTGCCCTTCTCTTTTACCATCTCCCCATAACTATGTTATTCTTATCACCACCACTACCCTACACACATCATTGCTACCACTACCACCACCCAACCATCTCCTTTTCCACCATCTCATCACAACTACCACCCTTGATGTGGTTAAGAGTGATAATTGAGGATGATTATGGCAATAATTTTGGTAGTTGGGTGGTTGGTGGTGGTGAAGTTGTATGTTAGCATTTTGAAGGCAATAATGGAGGTGTGTATTGGAGAACTCATAGGCTTATATTGTGGGCACTCTTAACTGCCATTGTATCTGGTCCTATTTTACATGCATATATGTCAGTGATCTCCTCTTGAGAATTACTCCATACTTTGTAGTCCATGATTTTTTCCTATCATGAGAGATATTTTCATGAAAAACAACATAATAATTTTCGCAAATTGGTGAACATCCCTAACGATATTGTTTTTCCAAAGTGCAATTGGATGTTGATGCCCGAAGTCGTACTATAAATAGTTGGATATTTGTGTAGCTTATCGTTTTAAAGATATTTTCATTACCCACAAAAAAAGTTTCTAGAAATGTCATTAAGCTTTTACTTTTTTTGGCAGACATCTCAAATCCTGACTCAAATTTAAAGTCCAAAAAACTTGTTTTAATCTTAACTCAAACTTATACCAAATTAAGGGAGGCTCAATTTTTTACTCAAATTAAGAGAGACTCAAATCCTTACTCAATTCTTTAATGGTGAGATTTCACCATCTTTTAAAGATTCAATGGTCATCTTTAATTTTTTTTACATTTAAGTTTGCCTTCATTTAAATTTGAGTTTGTCTATATAACCTTTTGTATCAAATCAAGCTTTTTACTCAAATATTAATTTAAATTTGAATAAAAATTTGAGTCATGATTGAAGATGCTCTAATGATACTAAAATTAAATATTAACTTTTTCTATTTTATTAATCACCAAATCATTGCTTAATTATCATGATTTTAATTAATTCATGATTATTTACTTGTTTAGGAAATTCACTCAGCAGTTCAAGCGACAAAAGACAATGCAAGTCAGTGATAAGTTGAATGGAAACTTGGCTGCCAAGGTTGTCGTGTAAACACAATAGACAACCTTGCGGGCTTATTTCATCTCAATGGAAATTGAAAAAGTATAACAGAAGATGTTGGAAATTGTACATCCGCTTATTCATGATCAATCAAAACCGTTGTGCTTCCCCCAACTTACTTCCTTCCCTCAATAATATGGGATCATAGCATATTCCATTGCTTGCACATATATGGTTAGTCATTCAGGGAAGCTATTTTTTATAATTGAGGGCTGATCTTTGTTGTTTTATTTTAGGTCTATAAATACATTGTGCATGTGCATTGAGATTATTATATTGTATGCTTTAATAGATGTGGGATCACCAATGATGTGTTCTTTTGGTAGCCATATATTAAAACATTGCATCTTTTTTAAGTCAATTTTTTTTGTCTTCTCAATTTAATTTTCTGTTCTTTTTTTTTTTTTTGTTTTGTACTGGACACAATTTGATTGCTGAGAAAATCACAATACAAATAAGAATTCAAATGGGGGTTCTTATGCACTATTATAGTGTGATCTACCGGGGGTTAAGTGGACCATAATTGACTTGATGGTAGAGTCATCGAAATACGTAAATTTGTACTTTCCATTCATTAATCAAGTCATAATCAAGTATTTTTCACACATAAATTTGTCATTGGTTTTACATTTGAATTGACATTTTTGAATTCCAACCTTCTTTTTGCCATTTATATTGCGTTCTCATAAATTATTTATCATCTTGCTAGAGCAAATTTGTACTCTTACTATTAATTTATGATATAATAGATAATATAATTATATATTAATTACAATTTTTTAAAGAAAAAATTGACTTTTATTTTTAATTTTATTTTAATAAAAGATACAAGACAACATGAATTTTGATTATAAAATTTAAAATATTTGATATTCTATTTTTAATTGAAATATTTTTAATATAAATATAATATTTTAAATTTAAAAGATCTAAATATTATACATCTATAAATTTTAGAGAGTTTAAGTATAATTTATTAACGGATATACCAACAAACATTTGATAGAGTTCATATAAACTTTAAAGAGTTTATGTATAATATTTCAAATATTAAAGATCTGAATAATTAAATAACAACATTTAAGCATCTAGGTTTAATTCTCTCAAAATTCAATGTTCTTAACCCGGTCCGCCGGTCGCTCTCATTTCCCTTCTCCCTCCCTCCCACACCCAACACATACAGGTGCACAATGGCTTCTTCTCCATTAGCCGAATTCCAAAATGGGGGCCCTTTAACACCACCACCGTCATCAGGATCTGACGCTCACGAACCTCAATCAAATCCATTATCTGACTCCGCCCCTCCAGTCACTCACAATGAAGAGCCGCCACCTCAACAACTACAGCTTGCGGTGACTACAGAACCAACAGCGACGGCGATGACGGCGGTGGCGAAGTGGCCCGGGTGGCCAGGAAACAACGTGTTTCGGCTTATAGTGCCGGTTCTCAAGGTGGGTAGTATTATTGGCCGCAAAGGAGAGCTGGTTAAGAAGATGTGTGAGGAGACTCATGCTCGCATTCGCATTCTCGAAGGACCCCTTGGCACCGCTGACCGTATTGTCAGTTCCCTCTCTCACACACAAACACACACACTTCCGTTCTCTTTATGCAGTTTTTGCATTCTTTTAGGGTTTGTATGTGTTGTAATGTGGATGTGCTAATTTGAATTGAATCAACAACGAAAAGGGAATTACTTTTCTTTTGTATATAATTGTTGATACTTGTGTATTAGTTCATACTTTTCTGTAGTGGTACGACTCATTGTCTATGTGTGAACTGCTATTTTTTATTTATTTAGCGAATGTACAATTTGAGTTGTGTTGAAACCTTTTACATTTTGGGAAGTATGTAGTTTAAATTGCTAATTACCTTTCTTGTTTGGTATGACGTGTGATTTAGCTTAAATGCACTTTATATCTTCACACTTGTATTACTAGTAATATTTGTTATCATATATATGTAATATGAATAACTGAAATTAGTTATAAATTGGAGGGTGTGAAAGTGTTTCTTGTTAATCAACTTGGCTTGCTTATACACAAATGTATTTTTATTAAAAAGAACTCATGTCTTTCATGGTCGATGGCTTGTGATGTATCTGCTGCCATGAGAAAGAGCTGTATTTTTGAAGCTAATCATTCAAGTTAAATAGGTGGTATGCTGAGTTACTGGGAAGATTGTTCTAGAGAAAAGAAGCTTGCAATCTCCTAATGGGAAAATGTGAAATTGAACTCTTTGAACCATTGGCTTTGAATGGCACTTATACTATATAGAGTGGTTGCTTGAAGTATTTGTGAATAGGCTAAAAAAATTTTGGGCAGCATTGAACGATGATGCTCAAATGTTGATTTGAATGTTAAAAGTGAGTAAGCGGGATGGAGTTTGATGGCATTATTAACATGACTTGAGCAGAGGATGCGTACGAGGTGTACTGAACAGTTTGATTCAATTTAGTTTGAGTTCTAAAGCTTTAGGGAATAGGATTTGGAGATTGGTGGATGATTATGTTAGAGTGTTAATGGTATAGTGGTTCACCAGATCGGGAGTTCGGCTAATTCTCTATTAAAAGAGTCCTTTTGCTCCTGAATATATTGATTACTGTGTGAAGTTTTATAGAGAATATTTTGTAAGGCTACAATGGCTCACTCTCATTTTCTTTCGAAGGCTTTGCCTTATTTATAGCTATTCTTGGGCTTTGCTTGATCTAGGGCGAGATCTTTGCTCTTCCCTTGTAACGGTTGCTTCTTATTGCACAACGAGACTGTGCGCCTGTTGGGTGTTGATTGATGCAAAAAAGGAGACTTAGTGGGATCTAGTTGTCCTTTACACAACCTTCATCGAGATATAGACACGGGGAGTTGAAGTCTGAAATTGAGGTCTATAAACAATATTGATGAGTTGAGCTTCTGACCTGAGTAGTTGCGTCATGGTCTGAGTTATCGAACTCATCCTTAGATATTTTTGTATTACCATTAGTTGCCCTTCGTCCCTGGTCAAATAGGTTGATTTGAGTAGGGATTATGCCACAAGTAAGGTTGCCTGGGTTGACCACGATTGGCGTATGATGAGATTTCATTCTGATGGTTATGACAAACGTGTAATCATGCTTTTCTCGTTTCTTGTGCACGTCCCTATTTCGAGGACCACATATTCTTGGCTTTAAGTGCGGTTGTAGACAAAAAATTGCCTTTCATTTCTTTGAACCTTCTTCACATTCTATCTCCAGACTTTACTTTATCTCCTTTTTCCTTTGCAACTTCATCTCCCCAATTCACCGAGGATCTAGGGTTTTCAGAACGATTCCTAACTTTTCTCCGAAGGCTTTGTGTGGCTGGCATAATCTGTTCAGACTTTCTCTTGGTTTCTGACTTGTCGATCGTGTCTCAGCTAGGTACGTCCCTTGCTTTGTTCCCTCTTCTTCACTTTCGTTCTGGATCCCTTGGATTCGAGGTGGGTTATTTAATTTTTGAACTTTTTGTTTTTGTTACTTTAGGAATCGAGGTCTTACCTTGTCCTTTCTTCCTCTATTCTTGGATCCCTACTCTATTGTTTAGAGTCTTTCTCTTCGTCGCTGGTGTCTCGACCCTGGGGCCCTTAGGATTATTTTACTCGCATTCCCCTCTTTATACAGTTTTTTCAACCTTCCTTTCTCTTGCTCAGTTATGTCTACTTCCGAAGCCACATCTTCGTCTGTTTCTCTCACCATGGTTGATAGGTCCCTAGAAGTGACAACCTGGGGATGTTGGTGATAAATAGACAACTTCCCTAGGTTTGATGCTGTAGAGAGGGCAGAGGCGCCTTTGA